CCCAAGGCACAGGTACACAGAGAAGAGGAGGGACCCAAGGCACAGGTACACAGAGAAGAGGAGGGACCCAAGGCACAGGTACACAGAGAAGAGGAGGGACCCAAGGCACAGGTACACAGAGAAAAGGAGGGACCCAAGGCACAGATATACAAAAAAGGTAAAGAGGACAACAGACAGCCACACAAAAGCAAAACAGCAGAGAACCACAGAAATGGGCTTAGAAAGGGGACATCACAAGGACGAAAAACGAGATGTGGCCATATGTAGAAGATAATCACAGTGATGAAGAGGAAGCACATGTAACACATGTTAAGAGAACACAAGGAGCATAGAGAGAGAAAATGGGGTGACCACAGAAAAACAGAAGACACAGACAAAAGAAGAGCAAATATGGAATGGGATCACATGTAGAACAGAAGCCATCAGTGGGCACACAGGACACAGAGGAGGGGAGAAGGACAGGGAGTGTGTTGGGAGGGAAGGAACACCGGAACAATGGATTGTCAAACAAAAAAGGACAATGGAGGAAATAAAAAACCAAGAGTGGCGGAATGCAGAGAATGGAGGAGAAGGAGGAGGAGAAGGAAGAGAAAAAAGGAGGCAGAATTGTGTGAAGAAGGTTTCTATACTTCACCCCCAACCACCCACAATCCCAAATCTCTATTCTACTTCCCCCTACCCCCATGACAAACTCCCGTCCTCACCTGAACATCTCTGTCAGCTCTCCTTTCACCAGTGCTACCAGCAGAGGGAAACCGATGCAGGCCGGGACCAGGTACAGCAAGGCCGGCTGTGGGGAGAAAAGAGCAGCTGGATCAGTACAGGACATATACAAGGGGCAATGGGTCACTGTACAGCCGGATCAGTACAGGACATATACAAGGGGCAATGGGCCACTGTATACCCAGATCAGTACAGGACACATACAAGGGGCAATGGGCCACTGTATACCCAGATCAGTACAGGACACATACAAGGGGCAATGGGCCACTGTATACCCAGATCAGTACAGGACACATACAAGGGGCAATGGTCCGCTGTATAGCTAAATCAGTACAGGACATATACCAGGAGCAATGAACCACTGTACCGCAGGATCAGTACAGGACACATACAAGGGGCAATGGGCCACTGTATACCCGGATCAGTACAGGACACATACAGGGGGCAATGGGTCACTGAATAGCCGGATCAGTACAGGACATATACCAGGAGCAATGAGCCACTGTAGAGCTAAATCAGTAAAGGACACATACAGGCTGCAGTGGGCCACTGTTCAGATGGATCAGTACAGGGCCTATACAAGGGGCAATGGGCCAGTCTATAGCCGGATCAGTACAGGAAACATACAAGGGGTAATGGGTCACTGTACAGCCAGATCAGTACAGGACATATACACGGGGCAATGGGCCAGTCTATAGCCGGATCAGTACAGGACACATACAAGGGGTAATGGGCCACTGTACAACTGGATCAGTACAGGACACATACAAGCTGCAGTGGGCCAATGTATAGCCGGATCAGTACAGGACACATACAAGCTGCAGTGGGCCAATGTATAGCCGGATCAGTACAGGACACATACAAGCTGCAATGGGTCACTGTAAAGCTAAATCATTACAGGACACATACAAGGGGCAATGGGCCACTGTATACCCGGATCAGTAGGGGACACATACAAGCTGCATTGGGCCACTGTTCAGATGGATCAGTACAGGACACATACATGGGGCAATGGGCCAGTCTATAGCCGGATGAGTACAGGACACATACAAGCTGCAGTGGGCCAATGTATAGCCGGATCAGTACAGGACACATACAAGCTGCAGTGGGGCACTGTTCAGATGGATCAGTACAGGACACATACAAGCTGCAGTGGGCCACTGTTCAGATGGATCAGTACTGGGCACATACAAGGGGCAATGGGCCACTGTACAAAGACTAAACTCCTGACAGATACAAAAGACACAAATAAAAGCATCTCTGTGTTCATTAATACAAACATATTTGTAATCAATACAAGCAGTTCAAGTATCTGAATGTAATTTGGTATCAGCCACTTGCAGTCCATGTACAGCAGAGCTCAGACTGGGAGACAGAGAAGCAGCACAGGCTGCCAATAAATTATGCTGCAGTGCTCATAAGAAAAGTGCTGATAGGAGGTGATTAAATGACAGAGAGAGGAGCTCATCAGTCTGCTGCTTCCCCTTCCCGGTCTAATCACAGGCTTAGGGGAGGAGCAAGACCTGTAATTGTTACCTAACAGCAGCAGAGGAAACCAGTCTCTCTCCCTTCCAGACAGGGCTGTGCTGAGAGGCAGAGCTGTGCAAATCTCAGGACTGTATGCATCATTTTTGTCGTTTGCCTGAAGTTCAGCTTTACAGGTGTGTCTATTACGGTTTTCTGCCTCACCTGAGCATGTTTGAAGGTGTGCATGACAAAGATGGTGAGCGCCAGACCAAAGATGTACGCCAAAAAGCTGGTGTAGAAGTACGTGTGGGAGTTCTTCTTTAGGCTGTAAACAGAAAAAGGATTTTTTCCCCCAAATCTATGATAGTTAATGGATTACGTACAGCAAGAAGATCAATTCTTAGTAGCAAGGGCATTTAGCGCCCTCTTGTGGTTAGTGAGGATACAACAGCGTACTCAACAGGTCTCCAGACTCACCTGGTGTCAAAACGCAGCAGCAAGGCAATGAAGATCCCTGAAGAGATGAAAGAGAATGCATGGTGAAAAAATAAATGCAGACAATATATTTTATTGACCGGGGCGGACGGTTTACAATGGATTTCGCAGCCTCACCTGGAATGACGATGTCACCAAGTCCCAACATGGCAAAATTATTGGCTTCAAGTCCCCTTTCCAGCAAGTCCTGTGGAAAGACCACTGAGGGAAACACAAGGGTGGAAATAGGGTGGTGAAAACAAGCCAAGCTGGAGGATTAAGTCTACCTGAACTATAAAAAAGTGCAGAATTTCTATCTTATATGGAATATACAGTATAGAAACTTAATATTGCCCTAGAACTCCCCTGAAAGATTTACCTTTGGTCTTGAATTCCTCCTGAAAAAACACTTCCGGACTGTGCCTGGGCACTCCTATTCTATAGCCTCATAGCTGTATACACCGAGTGGCCAGATTATTATGACCACCCCATCAGTACTTCGTTGGGCCACCTCGTGACTCCACGAGATGATGAAAGGTGATGCGAGGAATCTGACACGGCACTGTTGCCCTTCTGTTGTCTTGTACCAGTCTTGCCACTCTCCGTTCTGCCCTAACATTGACTAGTCGCTGACGGCCACAATTCGCACGTTCAGACCCAGATTTTCGGCTCACAGTCCGGTCTTTAAACACTTTAACAACAGCGGCTCTTGAACATTTAACGAATTCTGCTGTTTTGCTGATACTCGCTCCATGGCTCCGAGCGCCAACAATCATCCCGCGTTCAAAGGCTGTTAAATCCCGTTGTTCCCCCGTATCTTCAGAAACAAATCACTTCTACTGTCGTGGTAAACAACCTGCTTCCCTATTTATAATGGTCTGGCCCTCTAGCAACTTCAGCGCCAAATTATAGCTAATTATAGATAATTTGCCTACAAATGTCAGGTGGTCATAATAATCTGGCCACTCAGTGTATTTGCAGTGCGAGATCTAAGGCACTGCTGCCTTTAACTGCTAGATTCAGGAGATTAGGAGTGAGATTTGGTGTTATCACTATTGTGCTGCTCACTGTCCTCCTTGCTGGAGAGGAAGCTGTACCCGAGGACCTGCAGTACATGGATCAGCTTGCTTGTGCTTTTTTCATTCTGTGCTTTCTTTTCTGCTGCATCTTGTGTATTTTCTCACCACTCATCGGTGGGGCAACACATAAGGCACAGTACACTACAGGGCATGGCAGGTCAGTAAAGGGGAAATATATAGATGCATAGAGGCTACAGGCAATGGTTTACAATGGTCAGAGCCAAAAAAATACTGCTGACAAGAGAAGATGGTTGAGGTTCTGTAAAAGTGAAAATAGCTGTTCAAACCCACATTTCATTACTTAGCACAGAGCCTGACTTCAAATTTCAGGCGTCTGCTAAAACAGGTGAAGGGCTCTTTCATGAAACCAGAATGCCGGGTTTTGAATTTCAATGCTTAGTTTATTAAGAAAAGTTACTGTATTGGCAGACCATGCCTGCAACAACTAATCGATTAAACCGATTGCAATCGATAATGAGAATAGTTGGCAACTATTCTCATCATCAATTAGTTGATTTACGATTAGTTACCGGCGCTCTGCTCCTCCGTTCTCCTCCCCGCTGGTGCCGGCTGCAGTGGTCTGTGTCCCTTTCAATCCCTGCTGCTCTCCCCACCTGTATCGGCAGAGGGACACAGACCACTGCAGCCAGCACAAGCAGGGAGGAGAGACCGCTGTGACTGCATTCCCCCGCTGCCCCCCCCCCTCCTGTATCTCCCTGTATCTCCTCTGGCCCGGCCCTCTGCCTTGTGTCTCCTCTGCCCCACCCTGTGCCTTCTCTGGCCTGCCCCATTCCTCCTCTGCCCCTCCTCTGTATCTAAAGGCTGGGAGCTATACCCAGGCTGCTATTGGATATTTTAAAATGCATTGGATCAAGGACGAGTAAATACCACCACCCCATGCATTTTGGAATGGTCATAGCAAGGCTCATGTCAATTAAAAAAGGCAAGAGACCTTACGAAAAAGGTTAAAGGATGGGAATATGATGGGGGACGTCCCAGAAAGAAACATGGAGGAGAAGGACATTTAAAGAATACCTGTCTCACACTTTAAAGATACAAGTAGACTGGCCACTAGATACTTACATTTTATTGGTGCCTCGAAGGATTTAGCCACCGTTACCATGACATTGGTCCCAAATACCTTCCATTTAAAAAAAAAAAAATTAGTTCCCGCTCTCAGGCCATTGGTCCTCCATGACGTATAAACTGGTCCCTCACTGTACTCACCCAAAAGACATCATAGACAAAAAGACCGCCCAGCAGAATGCAGCCAGTGCTGACGTTGTTCAGATGAAGCAGCTCCACGCCGTTGAGGGCAAACGCCAAACCGAAAAGGTTATTGGCAATCCAGTGCTGGAAAGATACGGCAACACATAGTCAGAGGTCAAAACCAGAAAAAGCAATATTTTTTTTGTCATGCAAGATAGACTTTTGTTAACTGTCTCGCTGGGAAAGAAAACGGAAAATTGTATACTTACCTATCGGTAATTTTCCTTTCCTGATGCCAGTACATGGCAGCATACAATTGGCTGGGGGCGGAGCCATACCCATTGTATGCTGCCATGTACTGGCATCAGGAAAGGAAAATTACCGATGGGTAAGTATACAATTTTCCGTTTTCCTGATGCCAGTACATGGCAGCATACAATTGGCTGGGGGCGGAGCCATACCCATTGTATGCTGCCATGTACGGTATCAGGAAAACTGAAAATTGTATACTTACCTATCGGTAATTTTCCTTTCCTGATGCCAGTACATGGCAGCATACAATGGGTATGGCTCTGCCCCCAGCCCATTGTATGCTGCCATGTACGGTATCAGGAAACCTGTCTATAGAGATAAAGAGCTGGAGCTCAGATTAAACAAGCAGCTGGATGTGTCATAAAAGTGACTAGTGCTGGAAAAGGTAAAAAAATAAAAAACAGATTTTGCCATGTGCCCACTTTTCTACCAATTGACTCAACGCCACTGGCAGGTTTTATTCCACAGCAGACAACATGGCTGCCTTCAGGGACATGCTCCGCTCTGAACTTTCTTTAGAAATCCTGAACACAATAAAAAAAAAAATGATCTAAGACATGAGAGATTTCCTATCACATGAGTGACCACCAGGCCTTACCTTCTTCAGGAGGTACCAGACCCCAACCACACCACTGATGACGAGGCACACCATATCCCGGGAATCAAATTCATAATTTAAGATGTCTGCAGAACACACAAAAAGTGGTGAATGTTTAAACCAATCAGCATCCAAAGAAACTTACCGTACACTAAATTCTGCAGAGCAAGATTTATAAAGCCCTTGGACAATGTGCACCTCACCTTCCTTGCTGTCCCCGGAGCCCTGAGTGAACAGCAGCTGATACTGTTTGTTGGGAAAGTTTTCTGGGACGATCCTGTTAATGGCCGGGCTGTAGAAGAGAATGGAGAGAGAATCAGTTGCTGGTTAAAAGGGAATTTTCAGTGTGTTACAGATAAACATGGAAATCAGCTTGATGGAAACATTTTAAACATCCGTCTCTATGAGTGCTTTGTAGTTATATACTAGTAAAAGTGTGCCAGATCCAGAACGGGCAAGGTTGGGGTGGTGAGAGCATGGTTGGTGTAGAGGTGCAACGAGGGGGGGTTTGCAGGTGGAGAGCAGGGAAAGTTGCAGGGTGTTAAGAGAACAAGGGTGCAGGAACGATGGCAAGAATGGGGCAGGGGGATATGCAGGCGGGAGGTGGTGAAAGCGCTGG